AGGATTTGCATTCTTCAGTTGAGTGTCCCATGGATCCTCCATAATATCCACATTGCACACTGGGATCATACCCAGGAGAGTATGGTTCTGGCAACAACTTGAGAGTCTTGGGCTCCACCAATGAATTTTGAATCAAATGTGGCAGAAGCTGGCTGTACGGCACAGGAACTGGATGAAGAGGAGCATTCCTTCTTTCCAAATAGTTGCGAGGCCTATTCTGATTCTGGAGACGATAGTTCTGCTGCTGAGGAGCATAAGGTTGTTGGTGTCGGGCTGACTGTTGAACAGCAGTTGGAGCAGATACGACATTAGTTTCTCCCCCTTCCCAACATGAGGCTTCTTTGCATATTTGGAGGAATCAAGAGCAACTTGGATCTTTCCCATTTTGATATCGCTTTCGACTCTTTCTCCTGCCCTTACCAGACCTGAAAAACTCGCAGACATGCAGCCTATCAGCTTCTCATAATACATCCTAGGCAGTGTAGCCATGAACATGTCAGTCAATTCTCTCTCCACCATAGGAGGTTGTACTCTCGCTGCTAAGTCTAGCCATCTCTGGGCGTACTCCTTGAAGCTCTCAGCACTCTTCTGCGACAAACTCTGCAATTGTAACCTGTTCGGTGCCAAATCACTATTATACTAATAGTGACGCACGAAAGTCTCGCCCAATTCTCTCCAGCTGCGGATATGAGTTCTCTCGAGTCCCATATACCATTCCAAAGACGCTTCTGCCAGACTGTCTTGGAAGCAATGCATTAACAGATTTTCATCATTAGAGTACGCAGACATTTTCCGGAAGTACGCTCGGATGTGTACTCTAGGACAGGTTGTCCCTTTGTATTTTTCGAAATCTGGTACCTTGAACTTGGGGGGAATCCTGACCCCAGGGACTAGATCAAGATCTGACATATCAAGACCCAGAGAGTTTTGATTCTCAAGAGACTTCATCTTCTCCTCGATCAGTTTAAACCTTTTGTCAGCTTCAGTTGGCAAGTCATTCTCCATATCTTTCACAGAAAAGATATCATCCTGGTTATCTTCCCAATGAGGGCCAGCAGCCCCGTGCACAACGCACACACTTCCACCAACAACATTACCATTTTCGTTCGCAGCACCTCCGCCCGGAGGTATGACAACAGTAGGAATATCCTGTGGGATAAATCCACCAGCCGGTGGAGGAATAACACCAGTTCCTCCGTGCAAAACGCCTTCTTCGTCGACTCGTGCTATCAACTGCTGGACCATAGTTCTTAAATGTTCCTGTTCACTAGAAACATTTTGCATCAGCTCCATGAACTGGGAGATACGAGCTCTGACTTCCTGCATTTCAGCCTGAACCTAATTCATTACTTTTCGCTGATTCCGCGAGTTGGATACCTGGGAAAACTGAAATTCTCAATCTTGTTACTGAAGAAAGCCAAGTGGAGATAAGAACACGAGGCCGCTGAGAACAACCTGCGATGCAAATAAAAATACGGGATGCAAAAATGCAAACATGTTATGATGATGCAGATGTAAAAACAAAGGATCAAGGCTGTTGTGGTGCTGACTGAGCTGAACCAGAGCTTTGCCTCGGCGAAAACATAACACAACACTAATATAAAGACCCATTGTATCAAGAACACAGACTCACACTGCAAAGAGAATCGGGTAGTCTGAAAGTCAAGATTTCCTGCAATAACCCAATCCCTCTCACAGGTATGGACCTATCACTGACAAGGTTCGGCATCCTATGCGTTCATCAGCGTCACAGACTTTCGAGAAACGATGATACGTTCAACATTTCTGGTTTGGCATCATAATCTCCCGAAGAGGCCTCACTCAGCTGAATCACAAATGACCGATCCCCAGAGTCGTCAATCCTCATATCCAAAATTCTCTCAACGGTCCAAAGGACTGGAAAGGAAACCATCAAAGAGAATCTCGTCTGAACGCGAATTTCATGGGAACTAGTGCATGCAAAACATACAGGTTCACCACCACTTTCCACTTTTAATGCTATGTTTGCACTCAAGCCTGGGTTTCGCTTATCTCTCAGTGGAACATTTTCGCCCCAACAACACAGCAAAATTGATATATACAATGCTGAAAGTAAAATGCGAATGCAGATAAAATACAACACATATGTACACACCCAAAAGATAAACAAACAAGCACTAGGATTGACTCGCATAGGGAATACCCTGGGTCCCCAGCAGAGTCGTCAGTTGTCGCATCGCTGCGAAGAGGACCGGCAAGGACAGAAGAGTCGTCACCGTTCGTTATTTATTCCAAAAGAGAGGAAGGAAACGATCAGAGAAAATCTAACGAAAACGGGAGAAGACAGGTCATCGCAACCAAATCTTAGGTTCGGGAGTCGGTTACGCAAGGGGAAGGTATTAGCACCCCTCATGTTCGTTGGTGAGGTTTAGAGTAAATCAATTAAAAACCCCTTAGGTTTAGATCCAAATGAGGTTTGGAGTGTGGTTTGTGAAAATTAGAATGGAATTAGAAATGTGAATTTGGAGGGAGTTTTAATTAATTTGAAAATTAACCAAAATTCAAAATGGTTCTAGATCCTTCCCTTGGTGTAAAATCAATTTCTCATGTAAGCAAAATGGACCCCAAAGTGGCTTCACTTGAAAATTCACGTGCATAGCTGATATTTGCACTGGTTAATCGGTTAACCATCTGGTTAGTCGATTAACATCTTCAAAAATTCAAATTTAACTTGATTTTGACTTGGTTAATCGGTTAGCCATTTGGTTAATCGATTAACACCTTAAAAATTTGAATTTTGACGCCTTTTGGAGGGAAAAGTACACAAGTGTTCGTTTTCATCCGTTTTGAGCCCCATGCTTGCTCTTGAATATTGTCTATGAGAATGCTTGAATTAGCCTGAGTGTTGCTTCTCGAGCTGAAAATATTTTGCAAAATAAAATAAAATCGACTGCTCAATCGCTGGGCAAAATAAATGTCGGAGCCTCCAATGCTCGTTGTTCATTCTCTTGCGCTAAAAGAGCTCTGAGTCACAGAAAAACCTTGATCCCCTGCCTCAAGAACAAATGTTATGCAATGCAGAAATGCGAAAATGCAAAGAAACAAAAGTCAAGTACAAGAAACGGTTGCTCAAATTTTGGGGTGCAACAATAGGGAAGATGTCAAATTGAGGTAATAGATTTCAAATCCAATTTCGTTTCACTTTTATTCCTCATATACTGACTTAAATGTTAGAGTGTTAACCTTGTAGGTCATCCACTCCACCGCATCCAGAAGTAACGATTCACCATCACCATTGTTCAAGATTATCAATTTTTTAATTGCATTCATTTATGGTTCCCAAACAAAATAATTTGTAAGGAAATGTTAAGTCTCTAAGAGAATATTTGGCCTAGTTCAATAAATCAACGATTAAGATGCTACATCCTAATCAAGAAATGTTCGTGAAGGCTTTTCAAAATGGCCTCAAGGCCTAGCAACTCAAGAGTCGCATTTACTGAAGCTGAAAAATTTAATGAAGGAGATAATGGTATGATAAGAATGTTATACCAATATGAGTGAGTCGTCAAATTCTAAGAAGAATCAAATCATCCAATCAATTCAAGATAAGAACACATTTTTAAACCAACACAAAGGCATGTAGATAATTTGACACCTCTAAACACTCAAACAAGTCAAATACTGCAATAAGTATACCAAACTAGGACCCTTTCACCTCCCTTAATGCCAAGAAAATAAGTGATGGCCTGACAGGTGTTGCAAATATCATATCCGAGGACACATGATTCCGAGTATCTCCCATCATTGGATCTGATCGAAATACAGATCCCACATCTTACGAGGACAATTTAACTATCCACCCGATATAAAGTACATTGCATACCATTTGAGGTATTTTCTCATTCATACACTCATATTACTTTCTCACTCATTAGTTACTTCGGTGTTGGAATAGATACTATACCATTTAATTTTTAAAATTAAAAAAAAAAAAAAACTTAAATTATTTTTATAACACTAATTAAAAAGATATAATAAAAATGATTTTCTTATATTCTATAATTAAAAAATAATGCAATACAAATATTAAAAGTGTTCTATAAAATTAATATATTTACGCATTTATTAGAGTTTGTACTTGTAAACTCCAATATCGAATAAATAAGTGTTTTAACATTTTAAAAAGATGAATTTTATTTAAGTGACATGAATATGAGTGACTCGGCACAAAGAGGGTTAAAGTTTTAATGGATGATGTGCGCATCTAATCTAATAATTATAAATAGATATAAATTTAGAAATGGTGTTATGATGGGGAGCTTTGTTATGAAAAATAAGAAAAATGTATTTTCAGATAGAAGTTATATAGATGAGTAGATCACTTTAGATAAGCCGAAAACTCATTAAAATCTGTGGGTATTTCAATGACCGTCTGAAAATTCAGTGAAAGTTGAACCGTCATTTAACTATTTGCAGCAGAATAATTTGAACCCCTTCACAAGTCCAAGCTAACAAAATATGAGAAAACTACAAATCACACTAAAACTGTATAAGATGGTTTGTTCAAACCACTAATCCATCTAATATTAATAATGTCAACTCATTTGAACAAAAAATTTGTTTTAGAACCTCTGGCCGTTTGGTAGTTTGAATAGTATAAAGATCATTCCTTTCAAAATGGAATGGACAGTCTGAAGGAGAGCCACATACCAGGTAGTCATTGTTATTTTAATAAGAGAAAAATGTGCTAAGGAATTAGTCATATCAGAATATTGGCAAACCGTAAGAGCCATTAAGGACTCCCAACCCGTTACTAGTCCTAGCCCCTCCCTAACCTCAACCAATATCAAATTTGGGTAATCATCTCTAGCATACAAAACTTAAGGGCGCGATTTCTTCGGTTGTTCCATAATCTTCATATTGGCTGTTCAAAGTAAAAATTGATCATCTCGGGACTAAAATCTCAAAAGAAAAGGAATCACAATGCCAGTAAACTTACCAGTAAAAATCCATCTGGTTTTTCACAACTCATCATGGCTTTCTGGTTGTTCCGAATTCAGTAAGTCTAGCTTGTGTTGTAATTCCTGTTACATTCCAGACACCATTAATATCATATTGAGGTAAGGACAATTTTAATTATCATGTAATAATCAGTTTAAATACCTTCAGCTTTTCTTCCTGACAAAGGGCCGGGGTAGCTAATAAAGCTACGTACCTGCCATGAGGTCCATGAAACACAGCAATGAGAAAAAGGAAAAACATAAAAAAAATTGACAAAGAGGAAGAAAAATGGTGAAAGGAGCAGAGAAAAACAAATAACACTCCCTACTCGCAACGGCTTGGTTCATCTACATCAGTAATCTCATTTGACAGCCCACATTTTAGCTTGACCTGTTCAAAAAAAAAAAACCATTAATTACTGACCGTCCATAAATCTGAACCACCTTAAGTTTTTATTTCCATGAGAAACTCCACATACTAGTAATTTAAATTATTATGAATATTTTTTATGGGAAATGTAAGGAAACTGAAACCCACTGTTGCAAAAGGTTCACCAACTATAACTCACTGAAAGTATGTTTCAAACCCAAAATGAACCAAGTTATCTAATATGATGCTCTTAACTCTTATGTATGTCTCAAACACTCGTGCGTGCATCTAACCCAAATGAATATAATTACTTTAGAAAGAATAGACACGGAATAGTCTTGTAAGTAACATACCAACAGTAGAGTATATTTGATTCTAATTGTTTTAGAATGAATAGATGAAATATAGTCCTCTCAAACTGAAAGAAATGATGCATAACTTTTAAAATTCAAAAACATATATACCTTCAAACTCCTATCAGGACCGTTCCAACATTTATCACCATTAGAAAACACCATTACTTTGTACGAATCCTCAAATTTGTCCCAGCTCCTGTGAAAAGAAAACTGAATTACTCTGACTCTTTTAAAGGGAATATAAAACTATTTGTTTTCACCAACTAATGCTTAAATTATTTTGAACTGGAGAAAAGTGGTCTGCTAAAATTTATCAACTAGTTACCAAAACCTTACCCCAAACGAGTGGTGGAATGACCCTCCTCCTGAGTAGCCTGTTTATAGGGGCAGACTTTGTAAGTGTACCTGAACCAAAATTTGCATCCCGGAAAGTGAGATTAAAAGGAGAGGATTAGATAATTTTCAGATTTACAAAATGCCAAATACAGCATAAAGTAAAAACTGTTGGGAAAGAAAATTTGTAACTTGTTCTGCTTGCTCTCAAAGCAACGACCATAGAATGAATAAAACTCCTTTGCTGGACCTGTAGTATTGAAGTTTTGCTTCAGTTACTCAAGCCAATTCCATACTTAAAACCTCTACAATACAAATGTTATCAGCATCATACTAACCAAAATCAAGTTTTTGCTTTTGCGTCAGGCTCGATATTCTAGACTGTATTTTAGACAACTTAGTACTTGATTCGTCATATTCCTTGCGTATACGAGAAGCATCTAGAGCCAACAAAGAAAAAGGTGTAAGTTATATCAATCTGGATAAAAATATATGGGTAGTGGAATGTTAAATGTGTACCTGACTGATTCACAGGTGTCTGGAATATATTGACAGACTGAAAAATATTCCACACAGATTTCTGTATTTTCTCTAACCAAGAAGGATCGTCTGTTGTGGTAACATCTGAGTTCATTTGAATTACCATAATCACAAATCTGTTATATACCACACTTTGATAAACATTTGCATTAATATCTATAACAAACCTGATAAGTCCGGTTCAGTCTCAGTGTCAGATTTGTATGAGGAACTAATGTCGTCGTTATCATCATCTTGAAATTCATCGTCATTTACATCTTCGTCATATTTGTGGTTTTCATCGTCAGTTTCAGAAGCATATCCTTCACTCTCGCCATTAGTTGTCCCATGTAGGAGATCTTCCTGATACTCATTGTCTAATGCAGTGTCAGCTTCAGCACTTCTTGCACCAACATCTTCTTTGACCCAACGAGAAGCAACAAGCCTGCCCAATTCTTCCTTTGATAATCCATCAGTATTTTCAAATACATCTTTACCCTAAATACGTGCAAAGAGAAAAGAAAAAACAGATGAGAAAAGTGGAGGAATATTGTGAAGTTATTTCTGAATTAAACTAATATACTACTTCGCACAACTTATCAGTTCAAATAGGAAAGAAGAATTCCCCTAAGAGACAGATATCAGAAGAACTGAAGATGAGTTCTAAAGGGCACAAAACATGCAGTTAGTCGTTAAAAATGACCCTGTTTAAGACTTGTTAAAGAGTCCCCCGTCAGAAGCGATATGGCCTGAACAAAAGTTTAAGCTCAACCCAAATTCTAAGATGGTATGATAGCATGATTATATATTGTGGCACCAAAAGCTAGTAGCATTTTTGAACACATGGCAAACCATTGTATTTATCTAGATGCAAAAACACTCCTATAATATGGTTCACCATCAGCTCAAATTGTGAATGAAGCAGTTAAAGATGTTCGAAGACGAAGAAAATGTGGTTAAGCTTTTAAGTTAAATTTTGAGATGGCTATAATATGGTTCACCATCAGCTCAAATAGTGAATGAGGCTGTTAAAGATGTTCGAAGACGAAGAAAATGTGGCGTTTAAGTTAAATTTTGAGACAGCTAATGATTGGATGTCACAACTCTCAAGGTTGGTCGGTAAAAGCTATCCATTGAAACTAGAATGGATTTTGGTGTTTCATAGAGGTGGCCAGGTGGGTTGCTGAATTTATCTTAATTGAAAGCTTTTATGTGATTCTAAATGTTTATTTAAACTATTTGTTTCTTGAGAAGTGGGAAATTGGGTAAAGGGACCCTTTAATACTATTGCTTCTCAGTGTAAACATTAAATAATTACAAGTGCTGGTGATGAGTATCTTAAATAAAGGCACTAAAGTATGTTCAGAACAAAACTATTGTTTGTTTCTCAGCTCCAGCTGCAAATGAATGTTAGCAAGTAATCTTTTTTCACGAATATAAGCACACAAAATAAGAAGAACAACTCCCTCTTTAAGAAATTTAATTGATATCTTTTAATTTTCTGAATGTAATCAAACGATATTTGCATTGTCCAAACCACCCTTCATTAGAACTTGTTCCATGAGAATAAAAAGTTATTTGAAAATATTAAATTATAAATTATTTGAAGGGTATTATATGAATGATATCATTAAATAGGGTAAAAGTAATTAAGATTTGCTTATATTCTGACACCATCAAAGCTTGACTATTTTATACTTATGTTCAGACCGCAAGGAGTGCAAGATTTAAATAAAGAGAGGGAAGAAAAAAAGAATAATAATCAATGTTTCCAAGATTATTCGGTGGCTGGCTGAACAATCCTGTCTGTACCCCTAAATTTGGGTGGGATTGTGCCAGCTCATGGAACCTGTGGGAACGAGGTACTGCAACATTTGTTTGGTCCTCCTTTTCCAGTTGATAGAGAGCAGGTAATCAATTCAAAAACCTAGCCCCGGCACATTGTCCGGTAATCAAAATCCCTAATCTGAAACCTGATTGAAATGAGACTATTGCCTTATTTTGCTGGTGTGAGACCTCCAAGTGGTTATGCAGCATGGCCCTGCTACCTAAACCCTTAGTGCAGTGGCCCTGCTACCTAAACCCTTAGTGCAGTGGCCCTGTGATGCTGCAAGTAAAAGCTTGGTGTGTCTGAATACTTGACCCTGCATTTTTTAGCACTACAACTTCTTTCAAGTGGTTGATTGTGGTCAGTAATTTCTAGGTGTGGGTAGGATATTGAGACCGATTATGTTGTTGTGTTTGAGTGCTATATTTATATGTGTTTTGTTGTGGCTCTGTTGACCATGATTGTATAGGGCCGTATGACATGTATTTATGTACTTTTTTACTGTACACTTGTGATTGCTTGTTTATTTTGAATTGGAGTAAATTAAGGTTATTTTTCCGAAGTATGTTTTTAAATTTATACATGTATAGGATAATGTAGAGTTTAGAGTTTGTGATGATATGGGATAAGGAGTTAGTAACAATATAGGATAGTTAGTTGATTAGCTAGATGTGTATGGTGTATAAATAGGAGAATACATAGATAGGGGAGGGGATTCTTTCAGATTTTTAAACTGCTGTGAATAGAGTAGTACTCTATGGTAGAAGAGGAAACCCCTTGGAGGACAGATTTCACTCCTATTCTTCCTATATTTTATGCTTCATTAATCTTTTAATAGACTGTGATATTCCTTTGAATTTAATTTCTTGGTTACTAACAATTAGTCCGACCTGCCGGATCCTCATTTGGCAAGATGGATTACAGATTGACTGCAGTGGAGAAATTAATCGGCGAACAGGGAAAGTTGTTGGTAGAATTGAAGACAGACTTGAATCCTGTTAAGAAAGTCTGCCAGACATGTAACAAAACAAAGAATCGCTGCAAGACGTAAAGAAGCATCACTTGTAGGGGAGGAAATGGAATTTGTGGAAATCTTGAAGGGAAAAAACAGCAATAGATCACAACTTCCCTCTAAGGAGAGCTTAAGGAAGTGTTGGAAACAGACTCTTGAACAAGCAAAGACCTGGTTGTAACAAACAAAGGGTAGTAGCAGAAACTCCTATGATTGAGTTGGGTATGGAAGGAAATGTAGAAGACAAATTTGCAAAGGATCAGTGGATGGATAAACAGATGTGAAATGATGAGAAAATAATGGATTCTTGGGAGCAAGGTGATAGAGACGATAAGAATAATAATGCAAAGACTAACCCCCACGATGGTCTATCACATGAAAAGGTTTAGGAATAAAGGGAATCAATAAGGTTTTCCCTAGCCTTAGTTAGTTAATTTCTGTTTGTTAGTTTTTGTTTTCTGTTTTAGGGTAGTTGTTCTGATTTTGTCCTTTATCCTTGTGTACAATAAAAGGAGAATATTTTTGTCCTTTACCCAATGAAAGGATCTTCGTAAATCTTAGTTTCTGACTGGTTTCAAACCGGAGGAAGGAGAGTATCCTCTCTTGTGTATCTTTTACTTTTTCAATCAACAAAACTAGAGAAACGAATACTCTTCGTCTTTATTATAGTATGCTCTCATGTATCTTTTACTTTTTCTATCAATAAAACTATAGGAGCGAATAAACTCCCTTTCTCTACTGTTCTTTCAAACAGAACTCTAACACGAGACATAAATGAAAATGACTTTTTGGAGATCAAGAATCATCGGTTGAGATTGTGGTTGTAATCAGAGTTAGAGATGCACCAGCAAAGACTCACTGTTTTCAAAATCTGAAACTGGCTGACCTGAAACAGTGGGATCCTAAAGGAGATTTTTTTTTCATTTTTTTAACAACCATGGAACAAAAACTTCGTAGATTTCAACCTTGAGGATAATGTTATTTTGTGGAGGGGTGTATTGTTAGATATAGGATAATGAGTATGTTTTGATACGGTAAAGGTGGATTTAGTAACAATAAAAGATAATGAGAAAATAGTCAGAGAAGTTAGTCAGTTAATTGATTAGTTAGAAGAGTTTCATGTATATATAGGAGCTACATGGATAATGAGGGGAGTCATTTAGATTTGTAAACTGTTGTGAATATAGTAGACTCTATTGTAGAAGGGGATACCCTTGGAGGATATGTTTCTCTCCTATTCTCTCTCTATCTTTTATTCTTTCTTGATCTTTCAATAAAATAGCTATTTCCTTTGAATTCAATTCCTCAGTTACACACACACAATGGTAATTTTTCATGAAGACAGATTCATGATATGTTCTTTCTGCTCACAAGTTATTTGATTTTGAGGATATCTTTGTTGAGATGTAAAATGTATGACAAGATAAGGCTTGCTTTTTGCCGTCGTATCGTGCATTTATTGTAGCTAAATAGACTAGATTACACATAAAGACAGTCAGGAAGAATTGAAAGCAGATCAATGCCTTAAGATAAAATACACAAAAAGATAATGTCATCCCCTCAAAAAGTACAGTTTGGCCAAAAACAAATGGCAGAACACAAAATTTTTAAACAGTCTGAGCTAAGACCCAATAAAAAAAGGGTTTAAAGCCAGCAACTGCAATGTTACATAACCATATAATATAATACATAAAATAAGTTAAGCAAAACATTAATTTTTTTAAATGTATAAGCATGATAATATTAATAACCAACTTTATCATATCAGATTATTATAAGCACCACTGGAGGGGTATTGTTTCAAATGTCAACTATTCATTTTCATTTTGAAACTGCATTATGTTAAATCTGAAAGAACAGCCCCTAGTGTTTCCTTACATCCAAATCTGAGAAATCAAAGGTAGAGAAACAATTTTCCACAAGAAATGTTCTGCAAGCCCTGATGTTGAATCCTAGATATAAATTTAATAACCAAGAAAAATACTAGATAAATAATCAAGTGCAACTGTTTTGGCAATGAAATGATTTTGTTATGAGACCATTCATTGTATCTCACTTCATTTCGATTTTACAATATGATTGGGTGCCACTGAAGCGTGGATACTTCTAAAATGGTGAAGTGCCCATACCGTACTGGTACGTGTACCATACTCATGGTACTTACTTTTTCCTCATTTTTCTGTTTCGAGTGAAATTTTGTGGTTTTTCAAATATTAATATAATACTATTTATGCATTTTAGTTTCTTTGTTATTGTAACTTGACATTATTTTTACTTTAAAAACTTTTATTACTTATATTGTGATGTTCTGTTGTGAATTGAACAATTTAGTTCTCTCTTAATACATTTTATAGAGAAACTCTTTTTTTTATTGGTGTACCTGTTACCTTGATTATTTTTTAAAACCGTATCTCAAACCAGTATTTGTACCCGTGCCGGATATCGTATTCGTTCCTATGCATCATAGCTAGGTGCTAGTATCATAAAACTGACTCTTCTTGGGGAAGTTATGAGACAACAACCGACAAAAATAGAAGAACCTATTAGTACCTCATTATGACCTAATATTTGTTGCTTAAGTGAATCAAGCAGTCTAAATCAATTGAACAACTAGCAATGAGACAAGAATAAAAGTAAAGTCCAATCAAGCTATGAATGTATGAACTATGCAGATACCGTATCGATGGCTTCGCCAGAAGACTCTGTCTTTCCAGTCATCAAATCAATTTCAGATTCAACAGTGGGTTCTCTCTCAGCTTCTTTTGCATTCTACATTGAGAAAAACCAGAGTAAAAATGTTGAAAAAGTTGTATACCTAATGAGCTCGCATGGCACGAAATGCCACCTCAATAACAATAATTAAGAGAATAAAAACTGCAATCCACAAACTGTATGCACCTCCTCCACTTTATTAAGCGGTGATCCTTCACTTCCAAGGGCATCAGTGGCTTCAACAAAATTATCAAGTGGGTCGGCTAGCTTTTCCCCAGCTTCACCCTGCAAGTACAATAACACGGAAAAATACCAACAAAATTACACTTTCTTCTAATAACAACATACTTGCATGTTTAAATAGGTATGGTTTTAAGCATAGTAAACCTCCTAACTTCTAAGGGGTTAATAAAAGATCGGGAAAATCATATATACATGGTCACTTCATTTTAGCTAAATGCCAGATTCCAGATTGTTAATGGGTTCAAAAGTTAGAACAAAACTCTTTAATAGGCCTATTCTGATTATACAGTCAAGTTGCAGTATGATTGGCTGATAAAATCCAACCTGATCAGCCAGAGAATCCTCTTGAACTTCAGTTTTATCAGGATTACTAGCCACAGTATTGTCTTCAATGTGCGAATCCGTTTCAGCTTCATTTTCATGTTTTGTGTCTTCTTCATCGGCTTTAACTGTTTTTTCATTAGCCTTCTCCTCAGCCTCTTTCTTCTCCCTCTCTTCTTTTTCCTTCTGTAGACGCTCCTTCTCCTCTATCTTCTCTATTTGTTCTTTATGGTCTGCAATGGAGACAAAAGGAGTTTGTTAAAGAAAGATTTTCATTGATAGGATAGAAAATTGCCATGATATGACAAATATTCAAAAAACATTACTACATTCCTTTAGGACATAGCCCAAAAACTATAATTTCAATATGTTATCTTAGAATTTGGGTTGGGTCTAACTCATCCCTACAAAACCGGTTTGTAAGGTGGGGATTGCACTCACTTATAAACACAACACATGTCATATCTCTTAGCAATGTGGAACTAAATCTTCCCCTTCAAACCCAACACAGTGAAGGTGTTGGAGGCTGCAATAAAGGCAAGCCAAATGCAGTAATTAAGGCGACTAGGGGCGGACCGCAATGAAGGCGGAAATTCTAACACACCCTCTCACATTTGGGCCTCAATGAGCCCAGAACGTGGACGATGCGGGAAGCCCAACAAGTGATCTAGGATAGACTCTGATATCATCTTGGAATTTGGGTTGGGTCTAACTAAACCAACTTATAAGGTGAGGGCTACTTATAAATACATCACATGCCATATCTCCTTGCAGTGTGGGACTAAATTCACCCCATCAAACCCAACACAATGAAGGTGTTGGAGGCTGCAATGAAGGCAAGCCAAATGCCGCAATTAAGGCAACTAGGGGCAGACCGCAATGAAGGCGGAAATTCCAACATGTTATGTGATCTTGCATTTCAAAACAAAGCAAGTGTTTTCCTGTCCTTAACTATGCCTCCCCTTGTTAAAACAGAGTGATAATAGTGATTACATGTCATAGGTGGTTCATCAATTGAGAATAGTTGGGTGTGGTCATATGCGTAATTAAACCGTTGGTTCAGAATATCCCAGACACTTAATCCTCTTTCATGCATTTTGAGGTTTTATGCTAAACCAATAAAGGTGTCTAATCTATCACTTCAAACCATACATAACAATAACTACATTGCTGCATTCCTGATCCGATTTCCTGATACATTCACTTGATCCTACCAATGCAAAATAAACATATTATAGAAAATAGCATTTTTAAATTTGATACAATGCCATTCCATTTTATCCTCTTTTATAGATGATCTATTGATCATTATTTTATGGCTATACCCTTTAACACAAAATTAACGTAGTTTATATATCCTTAAGTTCACCATTACAAGAAAGAGTAGAACAAAAAACAAAATAAAACAATACCCTCTAGCTGTTTCACAACCCCTTTAAGTATACTTTCTTCGCTTTTCAATTTAGAAAGCTCTGCACCATCCTTCTCCATTGATAACTTCGCTTGTTCAATTTGTTGCTTTCGCAGTTTGACACCCTCTTGATATGTGGCAATCTTTTTTTTAAGCTTATCTCGAGCAACTTTCCCAGCCTCCCAACAGGTATTTGGGCACTTTGCTTGACCATCATATTCATCACTTCCATCACAGCAATCTACACACAAAAACAGGAAAGTGAAGTAAACAACTTCAGAACTAATGAAACAAAAAAAGTCTAGAAACAGTCCAAACTACAGGCTAGCAGTTCATTGGGTACCAATCGTTTTTAATTACAGTGCCGCAATATTTTTAAGTCAGAATAAAGAATTAATAATGCTTTTAGAGCAATTGAACAAATGAACAGTGTAAATGATGAATCATTTTGCTAAAAAGTAACCGATTAAAACATGCTCATTGTTCAGACACACTTCTAAATCTATATGTATAGAATCTTTCAACGACCATGCATAACTGCATCTATCCTATATAGATTTTGTTTTTCCTTCAAATAATTTTAGTTTCCCCTCTTTCCCTAGTTTTGTTTTCATGAGTCATGACTAAAGTCACAGTTTTAAACATCGCGACACATCCATCGCATTTGACCACAATTCTCTGCAATGTCAAACATCACGATGCAACCGCAACCGCAGGCGTTACCCCTATTTAAAACCCTAGCTAAAGCACTAACTCTAAGAACTGCATCATGCAATTATCAAAACACATTATTCTCACCGCAAATTCCATCATTAACTCGAGACGAAAACAGATACACCGGAGCATGCCCAGCATTCTGACAATAAAATTTCCCACGCGGACACGCTGATGTACCTACAATAACAAAAATCACAGAAAAATCAAAATCAATGATCCAATACGAAACAAATCAAAATAAATCAAAAATCGTTTATAAATAAAAAGAGATAGAAAACAAAACCAGGTTCATCGGTTCCATCGGGGCAATCACAGAAATCGTCATTGAGCTGCTCTTTGTTGAAATTCGCGGATCCGTCTTTACATCTAATCACATCGTGAGACTTGAAATATTTTAAATCTGCGATAAATCAAGTAACAGATGATAATTTAAATTTTAAAAAAAAATGATAATGTGAAAAATAAATAAATAAATAAATCATAACAGAGAGATAAACCTTGGGGTGCGATTCCCAGGAACGGGTCTAAGGGTTTCGATGAAGAAGAGAATGAGAATAGCAACACGAGAAGTAGTGAAATGATAAATTTTGGAAAACGGAGCTTCATGATAGTTAGATCGAGGTAGGTTTGTTGAGTGTAGAAATTTGAACTGGTGTAGATTTCTGGGGAGGGGGTGTAATTAGGAGAATGATGAGTATCGTTTCGGACACTAGCGAGTAGCGACTGCTACTGACTCGTGAAATTAGATTTCAGAATTGTCATTTCGAGAGATCGCGAAACTCAACTAAATTTTCTCTTCTGTGTGGGTGGATTAAATTTTTATGTCTGGAAAAAAAATGTAATTATTTAGAAAGAAACTTAAAAGCGTATATTGATTTATTTATGAGTTAAAGGAACGTGTTTTTCTTGAACACAAAAAAAAATCAACGTGTTTTTGCCTTACTAGCTTTTTTCCACAAATGAAATGCTTTAAGCTAGATTAGTTTTATATCATTATGACCATATACTATTATTACTTTCACTATGAGATTATCAATGTTATAATTCTTAAAAAATTGATTAGTTAGGTTGATTTTAATAATGAAATGAATTTTATTTAATTTAAATATTATTAGTTTTAGTTAATAAAATAAGTTAGATAGATCAAAATTTAACAATTATATATATATATATATATATATATATATATATATATATATATATATATATATATATATATATATATATATATATATATATATATATATATATATATATATATATATATATATATATATGTGTGTGTGTGTGTACGCGCGCGCGAGAGGGTTTGTACGGTGGTGTTGTAGTGTTTAAGTTAGTTTTAGAGATTTGTTAAAAAAAAAAATAGTTTTAGAGGGTCAACTCATGTGAGGTGAGTGACTATATACGTAACCGTTATACTTAGGGTGTGAATGATCTGTTTTTCTCCCGTTAGGGAAGTAATGTTTATAAGAGTCTTTAGACCTAGGGTTTTCTTGGGAATGATAACCGACCACTAGTCGATGGTGGAACGTTAAATTCTTATTTTTTTAAGAGGGCGTGGATCAGTTATTGATTATGACTTCTTTTTGCCTCAGAAACATCTTTCCTTATGTTTCCCATAACTTGGCGAGTGGGAGACACTTAGGGATAAGCGTTTTTAGATTATAAAGTGTTGGAGCATCCTCGAAACCCTAAGCTTCTTGGGGGATATGGCATGAGGAACCATACTGACTAAGCTTTGAGTCATTTAGGCAGGACATTGGACTTCTCATACGGGACTTCTATCAAGTCCTGAATCAAGACTTTAGACTAAGCCTCTTAAGTTATACTTCGGTCGCACCTCTTGGGCGAGATTCATATGTTGGATACAGCCCGAGGAAACTCTAAGTCCCATCGGGCGAGGAGTTTAAATAACATGTTCGATGGAAACTCTTAGTCCCACATGCGAAGTTATACTTGACCTGGCTGATAAGACTATAAGTCCCTCAAGCGATGTGTTGGACCTCTCGGACAGGACTTCTATCAAGACTTTAGACTAAGTCTTTGGGACTCATCTTCTTGCATTTTTCAGTCCTTTCTCGTTCCAGTTTGACTATTGACACTTGTTATTAGCTAAAAACTTAAAACCATACCAGAAAACAATAAAAGAGGAAGCAAACAAGGAAAAAAGAGCATAACAAATACTTATGACACATAATAAGTGATATAAATACCACTTATGAGGTTCTAAGATTGATAACACTTATATGATAAAGTTTATGTGACATATCAAATAGTGGTACTAAATGTTTAGTCACCCTGAGTAAAGACTCTTAGTTGTGGCATATGCGTCTAGTAATTGATCTGGCTAAAATAAAATTTTCAAAAGACAAACTATGTGATGCATGCCAAATAGAAAAACAAACAAGAGTATTTTTTAAACCATAAATTTGTATTTATGCAAATAAACCTATTAAGCTTCTCCATCTAGATTTCTCTGGCCTCACAATGACTAAGAGTCTAGAAGGAAATCATTATAGCTTCATGATAGTAGACAGTTACACTAGATTCACATAATCTTTATGCTTAGCCCATGAGGAAGAAAGTTTTGGTCAGACTTGCCAAGCTTGTACAAAACCAATTTAATTTGAAAATAGTTTAATTAAGGAGCAATCATGGTGGTGAATTTGTTAATCATCACTTTGAACGTTTTTGTAAAGAAAATGGTATAACCCATAACTTCTCGTGTTTGTACCCTCCATAATAGAATGGTGTTGTAGAGTGTAAAAATAATGTTTTATAAGAATAAACACAAACTATGATAAGTGAGATATGTTTACCTAAGTACTTTCAGGTGTATGTGGGGTAAATTGTGTGCCACGTCTTAAATAGGGTGGTCATTAGAACTATACTAGATAAGACTTCATATGAGTTACTAAAATGTAGAAAGCCAAATATTTCTTATTTTTGCAGTTTTGGTTGCAAATGATTAATTTTAAATAATGGTAAAGACAATGTTGTGAAACGATGTCGCTAATAAAAGAACAAAGTTATGAGATAAAGATTGAGTTTCTTGAACAAACACAAGAAACCCTATTAGGTTTTATGAAAGAGAGAGAAGAAGGAAGAAGAAGAACCTGAGTGAAGGACATCGTAGTAGTTTGAGTATTCATCCGGGAGCTACTAAGATGTACCACGATTTAAGGAATATGTTTTGGTGGTCGGGTATGAAAAAGGATATAGCTCAGTTTGTTTACGCCTGTTTGACGTGTCAGAAATCGAAGGTGGAACATCAGAGACCCTCTGGATTTCTGATGCGTGGTGTTGGGCAAATTGCAAGTGAACAACGATTTCTTGGATATGATTAGGGAAGGCCAAAAGCTAGATATGAAGCTAGTGGATTTGATGTCTGGAGTAGGAAGTGACTCCGATAGTGATTTTAAGTTGGATAGTGCAGGTGTGTTGAGATCCCGAGGCAGGATTTGTGTGCCGGATAATGACGAGCTGAAGAAGTCAATCCTGAGTGAAGGACATCGTAGTAGTTTGAGTATTCATCCGGGAGCTACTAAGATGTGCCACGATTTAAGGAAGATGTTTTGGTGGTCGGGTATGAAAAAGGATATAGCTCAGTTTGTTTACGCCTATTTGACGTGTCAGAAATCGAAGGTGGAACATCAGAGACCCTCTGGATTTATGCAACCGTTGGAAATTTCGGTCTGGAAATGGGATTGTATCACTATGGATTTCGTTACAGGATTTCCGAACACAGCAAGAGGATTTGATAGCATTTGGGTAATTGTGGATCGGCTTACGAAGTTTGCACATTTTGTGCCGATTAATATAAGTTTTCCGTTGGAGAAGCTGGTAGAGATTTATATTCGGGTGATTGTGAAGCTTCATGGTATGCCGGCGAGTATTGTGTCGGATAGGGATCCAAGGTTCACTTCAGAATTTTGGAAGAGTTTACAGGAAGCTTTGGGTACTAAGTTGAAGCTGAGTTCAGCTTATCATCCGCAAACTGATGGACAGTCAGAGAGGACTATTCAGACGTTGGAGGATTTGCTAAGGGCTTGTGTATTGGAGAAAGGTGGTGCGTGGGATACTCATTTACCATTGATCGAGTTCACGTACAACAACAATTACCATTCTAGTATCAGAATGGCACCTTTTGAGGCTTTATATGGTAAAAGGTGCAGAACTCCTCTGTGTTGGTATGAGACAGGTGAAAATGTAGTATTGGGACCAGAAATTGTGCAACAGACTACTGAGACCATTCAGATGATTCGTGAGAAAATGAAAGCGTCTCAGGATAGGCAGAAGAGTTATCATGATAACCGGAGGAAAGAGCTGGAATTCAGTGAAGGTGATCACGTGTTCCTGAGAGTTAACTCAGTGATCGGTGTGGGTCGCGCGTTGAAATCCAAGAAGCTGGATCCGAAGTTTATTGGGTCGTATTAGATTTTGCAGAGAATTGGTATTGTGGCTTATAGGGTGGCGTTGCCGCCTGAGCTTTCAAATTTGCATGACGTGTTTCATGTGTCGCAACTTTGAAAGTATGTCACAGATCCATCTCATGTGATTCAGAGAGATGAAGTTCAAGTCAGGGAGAATCTTATCGTTGAGACGATGCCGTTGAGGATAGAAGATCGTAAGATGAAGCAACTTTGAGGGAAGGAGATAACTTTGGTGAAAGTGGTTTGGGGAGGTGCTGCAGGTGGCAGTGTGACCTGGGAATTGGAAAGCAGGATGCAAGATGCGTATCCGGAATTGTTTCCATCAGGTAATTTTCGAGGACAAAAATAATTAAAGTGGGGGAGAGTTGTAACACCCATTTTAATTATCTAGTCTTTTTTTTTCTGTGTTATTTTATTTTCGGTGTGCCTTTTGTGGGGGTGTGGTTGAGTGCGATAGTGAGTGCCTTAAGTTTGGATATCAGTTAGTGCTTTTGGACCTTGATATTAATAATATAAGTATTAGTGATAATAATTTAATAGATAATGGTAATATTATTATTATTATTATTATTATTATTAGGTGAGAAAGAATTGGATTTTGGGGGGTATTAGGGGTTGTTTAGGAAGGAAGAAAAAAAAAGGAAATAACACGATAAAGGAAGAGGAGAAACACGATCAAAAGGAGAAGAAGAAGAACAAGGTCAAGTGGGAGAGAGGTTGAAGAGAAGGATCAAAGAGGAAGAGAGGAAGCCAAGATTATCATTCTTTGGATTCTTCAGCAGCTTGATTGAGTTATCGAGGTAAGGGGGCGAAACGGGTCGAAATTGGTATGGTTGCATGAATGTTAGGTAGAAGGGATTTTCCCCAATCCCGTAGGAATTGATGATCATGTTTGATATGTTATTGAATTCTGAATTGTTGCTGGTAAGATAGGTTTGTTGCATGTGGTTGTTTGGAATGATTTGGGGTTTTCGGGTAGTTTACCATTCTTAAGTCGAAAATGAGTTAAATTGGTAGAGCTGATGCTTTAGCAGGTGGAATCTAGAATATATTATGTGGCTAAGTCGTGGAATGTTGAACTAGTGTTGTGGGAACTAGTTTGAGTAAAATCGGGCAATTTTGGAGAGTGTTGTCGATTCTGAACAGTGGGGTTTTTGTGAAATCGCAGAC